ACCTTCGGCCTCAATAAGGAAAGTGGGTGGCAGGAGCTTGAAGTCTGATTCAAGTCATGGTGGTGTCACCCTGGTGTGGCCAGTAATGCCAGCCAGAGTGCTCAGTCGGAGGGGAGCTGGGGGTGAGACAGACATGAGGTGAAAAAGGTGCAGATTCTGTGTTACCACAGGATATTCATCAAATGAACTTCACAGAGAGAATTTCAGATATCACGGCGGGGCTTTTCGTTGTCCGTATCCATTTGTTCCAACATCACAATATTAAAAACACTTGGAGAGACAGAAGAAACTGAAATTTTATACTGAGAGAGCTGTTGCAGGTGTTTGCACAGCTGCTCTTGGTTTCAGTGCTATTTTATGTTTTGCATCCAATTTTGACAAAAATAACTTGGGGTGGGCAGGAAGGGAAATGGGGGATGGTATGGGAGGGTTTTGGTCACTAACATTCAAGGAAATAGCACTGCTTTGGATTACAAGTTTCTTGTAATAAAGCATTCCATCCGAATAGTGGATAGAAATAGAGACTGCAGATATGCAATGTAACAAATTTAGATTAAATATGCAAGTAGTCAGAGAATAGCTTGCTTTACTTTCAATCTGGCAAATAGGGATGACTGCAACAGGACCTTTAGTATCAAATAAATTGTTGTGAGTCCAAAAAGGAAACAGAAGTGAGGATTTGATCTGTAGTTTTGCATTACTTTTATTAGTATTATTGGAAGTTCATATGACATTAAATTTATAACTAGTTCAATAGATGAGTAAGCATAGTAATTGATGGAACTGTCTCTGTTCAGTGCTGCAATATGTGTAGGCAATGTGTGTGTTCCTGTGAATTTGATATTTGGGACTGAGTCACTGCAGGCACAGCCCATTCCTGTACAAGGCTCTTGCTTATTTTTGTGTCTTCAGGAGCTGATCCCAGTTGAAGGGTGAAGTGGAAGTTTTAGTCATATACACAATCTTCTCTATCTCAGGTTATCAACGATGTTTCTCAGTCTGGTTTCACTCGTGATGGTTTAGCATTAGAGTTGTATTTTCTGTGCATCTTAAAGCTACAGTGACTAAACTGTAATAATGCAGCAAGAAATGGTGCCAGCAAAATGGCTTCACTGAGCTTTCAAGAACCTGCCTGGAAAACCTTAATATCCACCTGTGTGTATTTGCAAATAACGTGTCTCCAGCCTTTATGTTTAAAGGTGTAGAAATTCTGTCATGAAGAAATCTGAGGGGAACAAGAAGGCCAAAACTGGAGGAGTAAGAAGTAGCATAGGGCTCAAAGACACGTTACCACCTGATACTTTCAAAATTGTAGGTACTTTGCCAGCAATGCTTATGCAGTTGCTTTTGGTTTTTTTCATGCTAGCTCAGATTAAGATACAACAACATTAACTGCCAGGATGAGGAAGAGTGGAGATGAAAAGTTAATGTGAACTCTTGGCAAACTGCTTAAGAGAGGAACTTGTGCTCATTGCACCATGTTTCGTGAGGAAAATGCGACCTTTGTTTGCAATGAATAAGGAAGTTTATGGTTCTTACATTCACCATTACAAAGGCAGGGCCTGGTATCATATGCATGCTTCATAATTACTAATCCAAGAACTCAGCAAGAGTAATTTGATTGGGACTGAAGACAAAAATAGGGCCACCTTTCACCAAATTGTAGAGGCAGAGAAAAACAGTTGTCTTTAACACAAAAAAACCCAAATGCCTGAAACACCTGGAAAAGCTGTCTAGGCAGGAAATGGCTGAAGGCAATTTGTTAAGCTGAAGACAAAAGTTGGTGGAAGCACTGAGACTTGCTGCCACCATGTCTGACAGACATTGAAGTCTAACAGCTGTATGTGAATGGTATGCTGAAAGAAATATGAATACATGCAAGACATGGCCACCTTAAGCAAAAAATCCTGTACCAATTATCAGCCTTGCCTGTGCTTAAGCCTTCAGCAAGAAAACCGCCAGCAAATCCAGCTTTGTAAAGGACTGCTTCAGACAACATTGAGAATGAAACAAATGATACCTCTGCTGCATATGAGTTTCCTTTGTTCTTAAGCCAGCTAAACTGCAGTTCTCAGCTCCTGGGCAACGTTCTGCTCCAGTAATTATTCTGAGTCAGTGGTTTAAGAAAGATCAGTGCTCACAATTTTGAGATTTTAAATTGCTTTGATTCATTTGAGTAGTTGGTGGTGGTTTGAACCAGCATTTTGAGTAAAGTGTAGTTTGATAGCTGCACACGTAAGCTTTTTTGAGTACCCTGTAAACTTAATTCAATTTACAAGCCTGCCCTAGAGCAGCCAAGTGCTTTAAAGCCAGGGCTGCACCCACAGCAGGGACAAGGAGCAGTGGGGTCACAGATTCCCTTTTCTCCTCTGTCACTGCAGCAGCTCCCTGTTGTCACTGACACAGAGCACCGTGATCCTCAGAACCGTCCGTGGGCACGAGGCAAAAGGCACGGGATGTGTGATATGGAGCAGAAAGCTGCTGCCTTCTGCTGGAGGAGTAACTCCTCTGCAGCACGTCCTACTTCTGCAGGCAGGGAAAGCATGGCTGTCCTGTGGCTCAAAACACCTCGGGGTGGGAAGTAATCAGACACTGGAATGAGCTGCCCAGGGAGGTGGTGGATTCACCATCCCTGGAGGGTTTTAAGATTGGATGTGGCACTTACTGCCATGGTCTAGTAACTACGGCAGTGTTGGGTCAAGGGTTGGACTCGATGATCTCAGAGGATGATTCTATGATTCTGCGATTGGTGTCCCTCGCTTTTCTCCTCCAACAGGCTGCTCTGAAAGGCCGGCAGACCCGTCATTCTGTTACCCCGCTGCCTTCCTTCAAAACTGCTTGAGTGACTGTGGGTCTTCTCCCCAGGCAGCTCGTGTCGGTGCCCGTGGGTCTCCGGAGGGCGAGACCTGGGTCCATCGGTGTCCTGGCCGTGAAGGGGATGCCAGGGATGCCCGGGCCTGTCCTGGAGCGTGAGGGGGATGCCAGAGGCTAAACACACAATTCCCAGCGGGGCCTGTTCCCGGTGCCGGATCCCGAGGCCCGCCCTGGGGCGGGACCAGCCCCAGCCCCGCCCGCCTCAGCCCCTCGTGGCTCCACGAGGAACCGATTTTCAACGGCTCAAGGAATCCAAGGAAAACTGTGTGACCGTCACATTTCCATCGCGCTCGGAAGGGCTGTTTAACATCCAATCCCTGCAAAAATGCTCAGGGACATAGTATTTACGGTGTTTTGCTTCCCCTTTTTCAACTTTACAGCTCTATCCTGGCATGCTTTATCCTGACTTACTGGGAGCACTGGGTTCAAGACAAACTTAATATTTATTGAGATCTCTTCCACTGAAAACACACTAGTTCTTGTTGGGCATCTAGAAGCCTAAAAGCATTCAGAATTTCTATAAGCACTAGTATTTATTTTTTACTAGAATCAAGTAAACTTAAGTGCTACTGAGGCAGCCTGAGTTTTTTTTTTTTAAGATATGTATTTATGTAGTACATGGAACTTCCACAGATGAAAGTGTGAGAATCTAAACCCTCAGCCAAGGATCTTTAATCTGAGATCTTCCTGTAGCTGAGAGATGCCAAATTAAACTGAACCCAGGCAAAGCTGGGGTAGCAAGGGAAGGGTAACATGCAGGGAGCAGGAGCTCTCACCTTGCAGCACGCTTCCTTTGGGTGACTGCTTTCTGATTGCTCGGACTTCTGGAGCCCTACTTGCCTCACAAGCAAGGATCCAGACCCAGTGGTTCACATGGGTTACATCTGCATTTGATTAAATAAATGATCCATGACAGAAGCCACACATCTGCTCTAGCTGACTGATACAAGACATAGGCCCTGGAATAATTACAAGCCCAGTTCCAAGCCTATGCCAAAATAAATTCTGTCCCTTGATACCCCTCTTTTGCTTTGTCAGAGGCTCCCAAGATTTTCACTTTTATTGGGAATGAAACACAGTCATCTAAAAAATATTTTAGAAAATTTATTGAAAACTGACATACAAAGGGTGATTTGGTCCCAAGAGAAGACAGACCAGAATCGGATCTTCCATATTTCAAAATAAGTTTTTTTCTAATACTGCATCACATTTGCCATCCTGCTTGTGAACAGCATTAATAAAAGTCTTTTAAGGAAGCCAACAACAACAAAACTCACAAATACAGAAGTCTGAAAACGCCCAGAGCTTGATCTCCCATACCCTCTCCAAGTGATCGCTATGGCAAGGATCTTGCTCGGTCCTCCTGCCACTCAGTTCCCACTGTAGCTCACCTTCTCCTCCCCCATCAATTTAAGCAATTCAGCCCCACTGTCTCCTATCACAAGGGCAGAAGTGAATTATTAAAAAATGAAAGTAAGTGTTTTCTACCAAAGCAAAATTCTTGGAGAGTTTTTTCCCCATCTCATGGTCTTTGTCAATAGTCCACCACTATATTCTTGTTTCAGATGGCAGAATGATGGGTCAGTGAAGCCCTATTGGCATCAAACAATTAGAAGGAAAGACATCTCTGAAAGTCAACCTTTGGTACAAACCTAACAAGAAAAAAGTATGCTTAAAAGGCATCTACAAAACTTTCTTATTCTGATATGCAATTTGTCACTTTTAAAAAGAAAACAACTGCATCTAGATTTGATGTATTTAGGCTTCTTAAAGTTTCTTTACTCCTCTGTTGCAATTTCAGTGTTGCTGAGATGGTTGCATCAAATTTTTGAAATTTTTATCCTTTCTTCTCAGTTTATTTAGGATGCAGAGCTTTCAGCTAAAATACTTCCAACCTTGAACTTTCACTATAATCCTGCAAGCTGAAAACCAGTTAATTAGTTGGAGGCATCACATTTTCTACCTGCAGTGACTACAGCCTTCTCTAAACTGCATTGCTTTACTTTATACTCAAGCAGTGGAGCACATCAAAGGCTGTAGATTTTAAGCACAGCTTAATAATACATGGGGAATTGTACACAGTTCATGCAAGAGATTTATAGCAGACCCCGAAATGAAATTAGACTTAGCAAGATTGGAGAACGTGTGCAGCCTACGTAATAAACCCTCAGAATGGTACTGGTTTCCAGAGTAATACTATTCAAATGTTGAAATGTTTTTAGTGAAGCTCTGAAAGGTTTTATTGAGACAGAAAATTTCAACCAACCTTCAACAAAAGCTGAAAGAAACAGGATTTAACAAATAGGGTTATCTTTTGAACAACCAAAAGGAAACAAAGGAGTTATGCAAAAAGAGAAGCTTGATTTTAAACTATCAGCTATGTGTTAACAGTAAAGAATATCATCACAAAGATTATTGACCAGCTGTGCAATGGAAGAGTAGCTTTTCTTATGTGAGCAGCTGCATTACTGTATACTTGTGCCTTTATGTTAGCAAGATGTCAAAACTAGACTGGCTGTAGGACTTTGAACTGAACCTATTATTTGGAAAGGAATTTCTTATGTGAAGCCCCAATTCAGGTATCTCTAAGAAAGCTCAAGGACTAGGGAACAGAAGGTAAGATTCTCTGCCTTGTTTAAGGGTTTCAAGCAAAATGGAACTGCTGTGCATTGGGAAAAGGTACAATGGCTCATTGTGGATTCCTTTCCTTGGCATCCTAAGCAGGGTACAAAATTCTTTTGGCATATGTCTGTATAAACAATGTGACACTGTGTTAAATGGCACATGTTCTGGCTTAAATTTTAAGTCTAGATTCTCCTGGGAAAAAGACAAGCATCTTCTTCACCTCACCACTATTGCCAGCAGTCTCAAAGGCTGGGACTTGGCTACAGACAATAATAAGCATTTGACCCTCTTTATGCCAGAAAGCAGCTCCCTGACATCTGATTTACTTACCACGTTTATCCAAATTAAAGGATGCCATTTATTTAATTATAAGTTAACAGTGTCTTCAATGGACTTTCCGACTTGATGCATACAAAGAATCTCAGCACAATGTAAAATGTGAATCTCTTGGCTCAGAACCACTTTTATCCTGACTTTGCATCATTTGGGGAGGGGGACATAAAACCCCAGAAACACAATTTAGAAGCCAATGAACCAAAGATGACTGAAGTTAGCAGGTATCCTGCAAGTTAGAAGCTAGCTTTACTTTCTACAAAGACTTTTGCTGTAACATTCCATCCCTACCACCCCACAGGATGTATAATTTCTACATTTGAGTTTACATCAAGTCCAAACCAGCCACAAATGAAATAGTGTAAAAAGCTGTATTACCATAGGGATTGCTTTTTTATCTGTGACTAGATTCAAAAGTATTTCTTCCTTTACATACCTTTTTGTAATTCAAATTAAACCAACTGGCCAAGCATAGTATGTGCACCAAAATCTTAATGGCTCAGTAAGTGAAAGACAGGGCTTAAGCCACAGTTACATTCAATATTTAGATTTTATACTTTACCAAGGGCAATTAAGAGGATATTTCACCATTAAGCAAGATGGAAAGCTACTTCCTTGTTCCAAAGGCCTCTGGATTACCTTTTCAGTAAAAATAACAATATTTAACAGACTGGAGTACAGAAATCTTGGGGTGTTTCCTGGCCAAACCATGTCCTTATGATTGTTAATAAGAAAACAAAAAAACAAATAATATAACTTCAGATTCACACATCAAACCAGAAAGAATAAAAAAACACCAACAAAAAGCATCAGAAGCTCACCACTTCCAATCTAAAATCTGGCACCTACAACTCCATTTCTTCTTCTGCACACCCAGATATTCCCAAACTAGCATACGGATCTGGAGACATGGCAGTCTGTTGTGATTCAGGGAACGTTTCAGTCTGTGGGTCAAAAGGAGCTCTTGGTGTTGGCTGCTTAGCTTGACACCCTTCTGTACTCTGCTGCTTGAAGTTCTTAACAGAAACAGACTTCAGTTTATCTGTCAGAGTTTCAGGAAGAGGTTTCCAAAGCACCAGCTCCATAGAAGGACGGCTCCTAGAAGGGGATGGGGTTTCAGTTAAATTAAAGTTCTCCAAGCACAGCTATTAAATGCAGAAGACCAGAGAGTATCTTCATCCTTTGAGCTAGCCTGGAACTATATTCCAGAAGCCATATGCCTTTTCCCCCTCCCCCATTAAGTTTCCTCTTCCTTAACTAGTTCCATTACTTCTAGTTCTAACCCTGTATTTTCTCTCTTTTCTTTAGCACAAAACTTGATGACGACTGTTGGTCACACTTCAAGATTTTCTCATTTTGAAAATTCATATACATAAAACTAAAGCTTATAATGGTTTAATCAACAAATTTCTCTCTGTAGAAATGAGGAGTACAAAACAGACACTTGGTGACCACTACAGTTATACTTATTTCTCTTTTACATTAGGACAGTTTTTCCTACTTTTGACAGATGAATGGTCTGTTATACAATGTTGGCTGCATCATGCAGTAAATTAAGGACATCTCCACAAATATGAGACGGGGTCTCTCTTTTCATTTGCATGTGTTAGCTACATAGCACCATTATTTCCTCCAGAACTTACATAGACTCTATTATTTTCTTTGTCAGGACTTCACCAAAATCCCTCTTCATCCCTTTTTTAAGGGTATCTGACAGGATAAGAGTGGGCAGATTGCTAACATTTCCATCAGCATGAACTTCCTCATCTTCATCAATTATCCTAGGAACGGAGGGGGAAGAGGGAGATAAACACTATTGAGCATACTGTTATCAGGCACATCCACTGCAGACTACAGTCACATCTACAGCACTGCCCTGGGCAGATCTCTGACCTAGGCTGGGTACCAGAAGCAGCGGGGCTGTGTTAACGTGAATCTCTCTTGGGCCAAAATACCCTGAGAATAACTGTTACCACAGAAGCCACTCGAGCAGCTATGCCACTTCTGGTACCTGAGCTGGCTTTGTTACCCCTGTGTTACCTCAGCAGTGTCAGTGCAAACATACACTGAGAGAAAATAAATAAATTCCCTTCAGGGGAAACTGTACGATTCGGTCACATTACACGAGTGAGTCTCAGCTATGCAGTAGCTTCACCTGCTCAATTCCCCATGTCTGAACTTTAAGAATTATTGCAGAGGTACTGAATACAGTGCTTTACTTTTCACAGCATTGTGCCAGTTTCTGAGATTAAATCAGTACAAAACGTTGAAGCATTCAGAAAAAAATGGAGGCATCTTCTTTGGTTCTGCTAAATTTGCTATAAAAGGTTTACCAGAGTAGCTGGGAAGGATGGGGAACAACCCTCTGAGATGTCCAAAGCAGACATGGGCAGATAATAAAGACATACATCACTACTCTGATTTACCCATGAAAAAAACTGTTCTAACAGTACCTTGTTTCCCCTCACACATCATCTATGGAGTAATAATCTAAAAAAGAAAAATCTTCTTTTAAAATTTCTATAACTTTTGGCTTTTCTAATCATTAGCAGTGGTCATTTTTGATATTCCAGAGTACTAGTTCAGCTGCAATCAACTGATACACACATATGCCATTCCCAAAAATCTTTTGAGGGCCAGAACACACAGTACATTTATTAAATGACCGCAGTAGTCTCTCTGTAGCCACCCCATCACCCCACATCACCCCATCAGCAAGGTGAACCTCAGCCTTACTGCATATGTGCAGAGAGACCTCTCTGGTTCATGCTACTCTCTACACTGACAAATTCAGATCAACCTTAAGTATTAATCACAGAATAAGCTGCAGTTGGTTGAAAAAAAGCTGAGCTCAAGTCTGACCAGATAACTGGTTAAAATTTGAGCTCTGGATACTCACAGAAGAGCATTACACCCCATTATAATATATTGATGCTGCATAATGACTATGATCAGGGGTTATTTAGTCAGCATATTCTGCTCTAGCACCCTTGTTTTCAAATCACAGTATCAGCCCCAAGACTCATAGGACCATATGTAGCTTAAAAAGAAATCAGTTGAACAGAAGGTTCACCTCAGAGTCACAGCAGAGTTATCACACTGCTAAGTGCTAGATTTACCCCTGAATTCCCACCAGAAAAGGGAAAGCTCAGCAAAGCCAGTCTACTCAATCCCTGCATTTACCTGTCCTCAATTTCCTGAAGTTTCCTGCGAGCAACCTCGCATTGCTGTTCCCCCATTGTCTGATCCATTTCTTCACAGGGAATTTCTAACATGGCAGTTTCAGGACCGCTGCCACCACACTGACTTGCTACCTCCCCAGCTGCCTGCTGACCTGCACAGAGAATCCATTCTTCAGTGTTGGGATTCAAAGGGCAATTTTTGGCTCCTGTCAGCCTCTTCTTCCGCACAGGACAACTAGGAAACAAAGTAAGTTTACAGCTGTCAAAGAAGAAATCCTACAGAAAGTCACGTGCATTTCAACAGCTTTGACACACCATAGCAGCACAACCTCAACAAAGAAAATAAACCGTGTTGCTCTCAGTGAAACATGAGCACCCATGCAAGAAAACCAGTGCTACACAACTGATTAGGTAACGTAAATGGATTCAGGTTCACGTGCAGTTCAGGAGAAGAGTTCCAAATGGAAACTGTGATAGAAGTTCCCTTCCTGTTTGCATTGTAGATGAGATGTGCTCAGATGTTTTAGAAAACAAAAAGCAAATTAAGATTTTTCAGGCTATAAAAGACAAATTAATTTACCCTTCTGCCTCTTCTTCTAGCTTATGCTTCTTTCCATAGCGCACAGAGACACTGCAAAAGAAAAACAAATAGTTATTTAGCTTCTAATCATATCTTCCAGTGACACTGACACTGTCAAACAATATTTTCCTCCCTTTTAAAATTTCACTTGCAACTAAGAGCAATAGTTGCAGTACATTACCAGCCACAAAGGGAACGGAAACTTTGGACAATAAATGACCACTTTGTTCCAAAGGAAGTCAAAAGCAGCTGTAATTGCTCAGTTCTTGGAGCAGAATTCCATGCTAATTTCTCCTTCTTTACCTTACTTTTTTTTTTCCACGAGGGGAAAGATCAATTTTTGCTAAAATTCAACTGCTTCAAGAAGCAACACATGATCCAACTTGAATCTGTTAGTACAATGTATCACAGGGACATACTCAAATGTGACTACGACACAACATTTTACAGAATAATTTAAGGGTTTTGCGCTCACATATGAGAAAGAACAAGTTTAAAAATAAATAAATAAATAAAAAACCACACGAGTTTAAAAGCATGTGAAGATGCTGGTACAGTCGATCACCTTTCTTGCCTTTTAGAAGGCTCCTTCATCCTGCACTAGCCAGCTTCAGGGCCTTAAGACAAGCGCAATACAATTCTAATCTCCTACCAGTGAAATACTGCTAGAAGGAAACAAATTCCACCCCGCCTCGCAAAGCACCGCTGTTTGACACTGCCGGCCCTCCGGCCTCGGCCCTGAGGGAAAGGGTTTGGCACTGACTGGCTGGGCTCTGGTGAAGGAATCCCACCGGGGCCGACCGTCAGCCCCTCCCGTGTGGCTCCGGAGGCGGCCGGGAGGCCAGGTCGAAGCCGCCCTGCAGACGAAGGCCGGACGGATCGTCGGGCGCCGGTCGTTTCCGATCCCTGCCATGCCCATCCCGGGTGGCTGGAGGCGGCCTGGCGCCGGCTCCGGTGCGGCCCGTGGCGGTCCGGGCAGCGCGCGAGGCGGGGGGAGCTCCACCGCGCCGGGCCGCCGGGATGCCCTGAGGCACTGCCGGGCGCTGCATATTCTGCTGCGGGGCAGAAAAACGATGTTACAACCGCACGCGGCCGCGCCCGCGGAGCCTCCGGACGGCCCAGGCGGCTCCCGCGCCGAACCGCCCCCGCCCCGCAGCGCTCAACCTGCCGGGCCGGGCCCGCAGCTGGGCCGCCACCAGAGCCGCGTTCCTTTCCAGGCTTCGCCGCGCTTCAGAGAAGGATTCCGCGGAAGCACTGTGGGAAGTTGTCAGTCCCGGGCGCTGATGGGGTCGATAGTCCCGGGCGCTGCGGAGGCTGCGGGCGCTGTGGGGCTGCAGTCCGAGGGCGCAGTCACGGCCGTAGCCATGCGGGGGCCGGGGGGGCCCCGCTGTGCCGTTGGAGGCCCTGTTCGCGACTGTGAGGGGCCCTGGTCGCGACTGTGGGCGGCCGTTTGGTCCAGCTGCCACGGACGGTGGGGACCGACCCCCCCCTCCCGGGAAGCTCCGAGACAGCCCCGCTCTGTCCGCGGGCACGGCTAATCCGGCGGCGTTGGCGGGCGCGCTCCGCAGCCAAATCCTGGTCCGCGGCCAAATCCTGGTCAGCTGAGGAGCTCAGGCGCTGTCGGGGAGGCGGCGAGAGCGAAGGATGGCCCCGAGGCACACGGTAACCGCTCGTTCTTGTCTCTGGTGGCGGGAGGCTGCGGGTTCTGCGCGGAGTTGGAGGGGGACAGTGCTTGTGCAGCGGTGTTAGAGGTGGGAAAGCTCTCCCTGGCTGCTGTGAGGCTTTAGCAAAGTTGGACGTTTCTGTCACAGAAAAGTTCTGAACCGTGGAGGAGTGTCCCGATAGCAAAAAAAAAACCCCAAAACTATACAACAAAACAAAAATAATAACACAACCAAAAGCCAACCAAAAACCAAACAAAAACCCCCCAAAAACCCCAAACAAACAAAACCTAGCTATATCCTAATATGATAGTAACCTAATTTCTCTGGCACCTTTTATTCCTGTAATGTAGTCTTACTAAATTTTGCAAAGGAAATCCAATTCAGCCCATGCTCAGAATGGAGCACCGGCCGCTGCTCAGAGGGTCTAGCTCGCCCAGCAAGGTAAGCAGAACTGTCCTGGCCTCAGAATGTGGATCCTGCAGGGAGTCTGTAGTTCTAGCAGCGATGCACAAATGTGAAATGCGCTGATGTTTCATGTTAGCTTTTAAATAGAAAAGCATTAGGGAGTAGGCTGATAAAGTTCTGTGCTTTCCTTGGCCACCTAGCTGTGTTATACAATGGAAGCTATAAAAGCATGTTTTCCGATTCTCGTGTTTTATGTTGAGTGTAAATTGAATTTTGTTTGTGTTGTGTTTCTGAGATGAAGTGAAAGTGCCTATAAATGGTCAGGAGTTCAGTAGCTTACAGAACAGATGAGGCTGTTGTCTGTGCTCTCTCCAAGAAATCAGGGTCCAAACTCTAATGTGAGACAACATGTCAGTGTAATGAGACAGGCTGATTTTGGGCAGGAAGAACAAAAGATCTGTCATAACAAAACTTATGTGATGTATATTAATGATTTTGGGTTGTTTGTTTATTTTCTGTCTTTTCTAGATTCCAGGTTGTACCCATGAGACACACAAAATACATTTACAGTACTTGGTTAACGGAAAGGTCTGAGTGTGCAGTGCCAGTATTTACCTCCTCTAGTTTTATTTTTTCTACCATACTCACTGCAGCCCTTATTTATTACTCTTGATTCATTGCTTTGCTTGTAATTTCGAGAAACACTTTTTATTGTTGGAAACTGTAAAAAAATTTCACTTTATTAAGATCAGTTTCAACTTCTGAGTTTTAGTCCTGAAGCAAGGAAGTTTTGGTGAATTATCTTTAGGAAAGACACAGCTCTTTCAGAATACACTATAGTATCTGGAATAACTCAGCATTTCTGGGAACTGGACCAAGAATGAGAATGATGAAGAATTAGTCTACATACCTTACAATGAAAAATTCAGGGAGTTCAAATTTATAAAAATGAAGGCAGGGGAAATTTGACCACTGAAGTGCCTTTAGTATAGGAGACGACGTCGTGTCCAGCTGAAGTTAGACAATAAGATACTATGAGATGAAATTAGGACCTAATTTTAAATGAAAGTGTTGCTAGACATTTGAACTGGATGTTATTTTTAGTATGATCATATTCAGTAAAAAGTAGAGTCAGAAAGCACCACATGAGATAGCCAAACACTGTACAGACCTCTGGAGATCTCTGACCCAGAGGACTCATCCAAAGTATAATGTTTTATGACCAATTAGACTTTTGAGATTTAAATGTATCATAACAGCAATTTTTATTTACCTTAAAACTGATGAATCTGTGACTCTATTAATTTTAATTTATAAATACTGATTTAGGAATATAACTAGGTAATCAGTATTGAAAAATTAAAAAATACATGCCAATATACTTCAGATTGAATACTATTATCAGTGAACAATATGTTGTAATTTAAGATACTAAGACTTAGCAACTGCCAATTTGCAGACATTGAGTAATCATTTGAGGGACTTGCAGTGGGAAATAAAATATTGTTATTTCTCACATCTTGGTCGAAACGTGTGTCAAAGAAATGGGGATTTGGTTAATTCTTATACTGAATCATTGTGCCTCTAACACCAAACATAAACAGTCCTTGCATTCTTTCATTAAAAACAGACACCATGAGACGTGTGGCTCATGCAAAAAGCATTTCCTCAGTTCCCAATAAAACCTGCAGTGGTTATGTTGCCTACATTTAATCTGGAGACTTGTGATTGTGGCAACTGTAAAGGCTGTTAATGATCAAGGCTGAAGTCAGTGTGAAATGCTTCTCCTGCTGCAGGTGTTTGGGAGTTCATGCAGTTTTCTAAACAGATATTTTCACTGTTCCAAAGTAAAAACATGATGTATTTCACCACGATTTTCTCCTAGATATTACCTGCATGTGTGTTCAAGGACCTCTCTTTTTTCATACCCATTCCACTTTCTTTTGTTCTCTAGCTCCCCAGCTGGACATTGTTCCTGGCTGTTTGTGCTGTTGGAATTGGAGGGACCTTTCAGTATGGGTATAATGTCTCCATTATCAATGCACCCACACAGGTAAAAGCTCATCTCTTGGTCACAGGGCTGTTTCCTCTCTAGCTCAGCCAAGAGGCCAAATGTGCTTCTGCTGCCATTGCAGTGGGATCCAACACAGGCTTCCTCTCATGTGAAGGATACTTGTTGATTTCCCAAAGGGTTTCATGTGAATTTCTTTGTGAGTACCTCCTGTCAGAGGTATTCTGTGTCAGATAAAGGTCACTTAAATACCTCTGCTAAGTATGTTTTAGAAGGATTAACTGAATAAATATCTTTTTCAGTTACGCCTTTGACTAAAATAGCCCAGAACATTAAGAATAGAATAGAACAGAACATTTTCAGTTGGAAGGGACCTACAATGACAACCTAGTCCAACTGCCTGACCACTTCAGGGCTGACCAAAAGTTACTAAGGGCATTGTCCAAATGCTCTTGAGGCATTGACCACTTCTCTAGGAAGACTGCTCCAATGTTTCTGTAGGATGTCATCACTGTTTCTCCTAATATCAAGTTTAAGCCTCCCCTGACACAGCTTGGAACCATTCCCACACCTCTTGTCACTGGATAGCAGGGAAAAAGGATAGTTGTCCATCATAAGGCAGCTTACTGAAAAAGATCTTAGGGAGACAAAAAGTTTCATCTGTAGTGGCTGAGTAACTTGTAGGTATTTTCATCTACTTGTTACTTGTGATTCTTTGCCAGGGCCTCAAGGATTTTGCCTATTTTGTGGATGACTCAAGAGGATCTGAGCAAATGGTCTTGTGAAAGCGATGGATATAATTTTCTACCATCAGCTGATTGATTTGCTTGTGAAACTGTGAAGACTGAATTTGATATAACACTGTATGCTTTTTACAAAGCTTAAAAGAAGCTGTTTGTGAAAGAACATGTAATATGCTGTAAACAGAGGGACAGTCCAGGAACTTCGTCCTTCTGTAAAGTCTTCGTTTGCTGGCAAAGAACAGAAGTCTCTTATTACAGATAAATGTCAGTTCAGGAGTTTCTAAACACAGATTTTGGGAGACCAAGCATTTAGAATAACAGTTTCAAAGTTCTGACACATGAATACTCTTAAGAAAAGTGGAGTATTATTAGAGTTGCAAAAGGGATTTTATTATGACTTGTTGGATTACACAAAGGCAGGAAGATTTAGATCAAGTGTCAGAATGAGTCTCCTGACTGTACAATATTTTAGGTTGTAAGGCCTCTGTGCTCTGAGATGTTCCTAAAATCAGTAGGACCAATCATCCACCGTCCCTTCCCTCGTGCAGGGTGGTGTTTCTCCTGTGGTGCAGCACAGCCAGCCTGAGCCAGGGCACAAAGCAGAGCTGCTCAGTGGCCTTTGATGTGTGTGAGGAGTAGGAAACGGTGTTGCAGTCAAGGAAGATTCTGCTAAACATTGGTGTTTTTAATATAATACAAATAAGATGATACTTTTTGTTAGCTCCCAGAATTGGTTTTCAGGATTGGGGTGCAAGCTATTTGTGGGGTGCTGTAGGGCTGCACATAATGCTACACATTCCTCGTTCTTTTCTACTGCAGCATATACACAAGTTCTTAAACGAAACCTGGACTAGTCGTTATCACAAGGAACTAAATCCAGATTTGCTGACTTTCCTGTGGTCTGTCATTGCTTCTATCTTTTCCCTTGGAGGCCTGTGTGGAGCCCTGATGGGAGGCAGCATGGCAATTCGCCTGGGCAGGTCAGTGCAGCAGCAGGCATATGGCAGCATGTTTGCTTTTCCTACCTTCTTACTGGAATAGAAAGAAAATAAATGGAAAAAGAGTGGGAGAAAAGAGCACCTTGAGCACT